GTAGCCGAGTCTCCTTTGTGTAGTCAAAGGCTGTCAGATGCTCTCTCCAGTGTCACCTCTGATTACAGTTGCCTATAACACACTTTCTCTCAATAAATGCACATGTTTTATGTGGTTTTGTCTACACTCTACCAAATCAGCTTACCAGCTCATATGGACTGGCTTGATGCTAATCCTGTCTTTATTTAAAATTTTATTTTGTTCATTATGAATATAGTCTAAGGCTGCTAGAAAATGTATTAGATTTCAAACCTTTGAGACTTTGGCAGCATTCTAATGTTTGCCTTTTTAAATATGTCTAGATTGTGTTAAAGTCTGACTTGTTTGGTGGCTGAGTGTCTGCCACTTTCTCAAATCTGAAGTCAGAGGCTCAGAGGCTTCATGCTAGTCCTGACCTGGCACGTGTGCTCAAACCTATCTGGTTGCACGGTGTGAGCTTTTAGAGCTAAGCAAACTTATTTGGGTTATTTGCATACCACTCATCTTGATTTCTTCAATGTGGTTCACAGTGAAACGGAGGGATCGCAAAATTCAGTCTTAGGAATGAAATATACTTTCAATATGTGCATCCTAATTTTGTTTTTAAAAACTTTTATTTAAGCTATCTCCTTTCTTGGCCCCGCGTGACAAAACATGGAACTGGTCAATACCACCACCTTGTCAACCCCCTCCAGGGTAGACCAGGAAGACTGCGGCCTGCACTGCAGAATCGTTCTGATAGCACTCTACTCGGTGGTTTTGCTCGGAGGCACCGTGGGGACAATTATGATGTCCAGGATGATGTTCAAAAGGAAGAGTCAGTCTGTTATTGCCACGATCATCCTCAATATCATAGTGCTGCGCTCCGTTCTCGACAGTCTTCCGCTCCGCCTCAGCTATTACGTCTCTGACGTCTGGGCCTTTGGATTCTTTACGTGCCGAGTGGTTAGCGGCGTCATCTACGGCCACATGTACTTTATCTTTGTTTTCTACGTGGCTATTGTCATATTCCGCCTGCTGGTCTATTTTAAAAAGCTCCAAGTGCAACGGCTGCAAAAGTTCCATGCGGTCGTTTTAAGCGTGGTTATATGGCTGGTGGGGAGCCTCGTTTTTTTGCCATTGTTTTTTTCACAGTATGGCACAAACCCAAGTTTTTCACAGGAGCCAAGATGTTTTGAGTTCTACAAAGACCTCAACCGCAGTGAATTAATTGTCATAAACTATTCTGTGATCGCCATTATGATGACAACGGTTACGGCCCTCTCTTTAGTAGAAATGGTTGTCATCTTTCAAATGGTAAAGGCTCTTTGGCCTGACATGTGGGCCCATCAAGAGTATAGAGCTCAAATCAAGAGTTTCTTCTTCCTCCTTGTAATATTTGTCTGTTTTGTACCACACCATGCATTCCGCATATACTTTATTCAAAATTATTCCAAGAAAGATCATTCTCAGTTAGTTCTTTATAATGAAATTTGTGTCGCTCTAACTACTGTCTGTTGCCTCGATATGCTGTGTTTCATAGGTGGACTTATTCATTAAACATCTATCTCACTTACTTTGTAATTGGTTTCTTCATTGTTGAGAATTATTTGGGTTCCACTGTGATTTCAATCTTCTTTTGCTTCAAATTCTCTGCTCTTTACATTTCCCAAAATTACCTTTCTATTAATAGTTAATGATTATATCCCTCTCCTTGAAGAACAGTCACCGGCTCTCCATTCACCATAAAATACATTCCATCTCTTTAATGCTGCACAACCTGGCCTCACTCCGCCCTGCCTGACTCAAGCCCTACCACTTTCTTTTGTGTGCTATCTAACCCGATGAGACAGCATTGGGCTTTTCTTATCTAATCGCCAGTCTGTTCTCCTTTGTGTTCGCTCTCATATGAGCGAACACATCTCTTTCTGATCCTAGAAGGTTTGTTCGCTCCCTTTCCAAAGGTAGCCATTCTTCAAGATCCAGAGAGGCCCTATGGATGAACTGAACCCTAGAGAGCCCTCAACTTGTCCAGCTTCCACTTGAAACAGATGTCTCTTGCAAACAACGGGATTTGCATTTGGAAGAAAGCATGAGCTCATATGAAATAGGCAGAAGAGTTGTTGGAAACATTTTTACCAGTTATTATTCATTGGTGTGATTTGGATAAGACTGAAACACAGGAGATTCTAAAACTCATGGGGTTTCCTTCCGGATCCAGTCTCTCTGGCCTTGCTACATTAAACAGGGGGAGCAAAAGAGGGAAGAAAATAGCAAGACTGATATTTAATCCAAGCTGGCCAGAACACATCTGAGCCCCACATTTGAGACTGTGGACTCTTCTTAAGCTGCACGCGCTCAATGTTAACCGAACGGTTGACAGTTCAAACTTTCTCTGTAGGGAAAAGATGAGAGAGTCTGTTTCCCCCAAATCTGCAGCTTTGGAAACCCCATGGAGCAGTTCTATTCTGTCCTGAGGGTTGCTTTGAACCTAAATTGATTTTGTTTTGTTTCATATGGTTTTGTTTTGTTTGATATGATTCTGTTTTGTTTATATGAGCAAGTAGTATTCTATAAGTGAAATCAATACTGGGAAGGATAAACTAAATAGGAACCCAGAAAGTCAACTTAAACTCTAATTACTTAATATAATATTTGACTTGTTCTCCGACTTTGCTTATAATAATGTTGCTTTGGAGATTTTATATTTAATGAGTCAAATAACTGAACTATGCACCATGTGGGAGAAAAACCCAGTGTCACAGTGGTTCAAGCTATTAATAAAATTCAGCTACAAACCAAAATGACAGTGGTTCAAATCCACCCGCTTCTCTCTGGAAAAAAACAAGTGTTAGTCTGCTTGCATAGAGAGTTACAGCTTTGGAAATCCTATGGGGCAGCGGTGCCCTGTCTTCTAAGGTGAGAGCCATGAAATCAAGACACAAAAGGATGTGTATTATTTTTTGTCTTAAGGCATTTGTTCGTGTTATTCTGCCACCTTGGATTGCCCTACTCTGGAGGAAGGCAATGGCCACATAATAAGCAGCTCAGTGGGGAATGCTATGAGGCCAAATATTGAGATATGCCGGCAGGTGTTAGCTTTAAAGTGGATGTGCTGGGACTTACCAATGGCTATGCGAGTGAACTCAGAAGTTTATCCTCTTCCAGTGGAGTCTTATGATGACTGCCCTCCCACCGACCCATTAGCTTCTGCCTCATGATAAACACTGAGTCAGAAGCCATCAGCTTGGCGATTCTTGTACTTCTGATCCATAGAAACTACAGGCTAATAAACCTTTGTTGTTTTACACCACTGAGTTTGGGGAGACATGTTTACTCTGCAATATATGAGAGGGCTGTAAAGAGCGAATACAAGTCTGAAACTTCTTAGCATGTTTATCCAGTATAGAAAATCAATTTTAGTGGCTCAAGTGATATTGAAAAATCATGTAACAAAATGGACTTGAAAGGTAATGGAATTCCTCCATGAATCTTTTGAAACCTCTTTGTATAACAAATAAAATAAGCTAATTATTTACACCTGTCCAAACCTGTTACATAAGGCATTTTTATGCTAAATGAAAAAAAAAATCACCCTTCTTGGGCAGATTAATGACTGACAAAAATGTCCCTCTTCCATAGACTGCAGATGGTGGGACAACTGGAGTTCTGACTCTACTCAATCCCTTCAATAGACTGATGAGTAGTGCTCAAACTAAACAACTAGATGTTATTCTCTGGCTCTTTCATCTGGAACTTGGAACATGTTTTCTCAATGATGAAAGGTAAAAGTGGCAATTGGGTCTCTACAGAATTTACATTAGCCTTTCTATGCTATATTGATTGCAAATGAGGCTCTGATTGTCTTCTCAAAGCAGGGGAACATCTCATACAAAGTGTAGGGTGTGTTCTTGTTGTCACTGGGCCTAAACTAACCTAAGAAAAATGTTTATCTTTATTATCCTATCCCACTCCTTTTTAGTTCTGGAATTTCTTTTCTCGCAACTCTTGCATCTGACCTTGCTAACTTGTTTGTCAGTCTCTGCTTGTTCCAATTGCTGGTAATTAATACCACCGTGTCTGTCTTCTGATTCAATAGACATGCTCTGTGTTAGACAGGGTTATCTAGAGAGATAAAACCAAATTGCTGATAATTTAATCTATTTATTTATAAAAATAATTAGATATATAACAAGAAATGAACTGTTAAATCATATACAGATACATATATAATACAAGAAATAAACAGTTAAATTATAAAGCACTACAAATGGCTCAATTCAACTCACTGCCCTGAGAGAGTTGTGAGAGACTAGCAGTCCTTCCAGTCCAGTCTGCTGCCAGATCTTCCTCTATTTATAGAGAGAGCTAGGCTATGTCAGCACAGCAGCCAATCACAAGGCAGGTCACCAACTGCCAGCCAGGTCACCAACTGCCAGTCCCCAGCTTCAGCGATGTCTTAAAGGGATCTCAACTTACAGCAACTTACAGTGACACAGTCCACAGGCTAGGCGTCCCACAGGTAGTGTAGCCTTTAAATTGAGGCACAGGACAAGCAAGCAACCGCACACTGGTCTGATGATCAAAGAGCGAGAGACAGGAAAGGCGAGACTCACCAAGCCATTATCTCTCTGCCCTTCAGTTAATCCCACTTGTGTTTATCGGCCAGGCTGGCACAATAAACTATCTCATGCTCCAAAATTATGTTAGAAGATTGACTCCTATCCCTGAAGCATAGAGACACGAATATATTATCATTTTTGGAGATAGAGTGGAGGTGAATTGGAGTAGAAATAGCAAAGAGGAGGACCAGAGCAGGGGGGAGGGGGATTAAGGTCAGGGGGCTATGCAAGAATACTTTGTAAATCATGTTGTCCTATAGACCCTGGGTTCTCCAACTATAATCTGGATCTAGCAACATCAGCATCACCTAAGACTTTGTTAGAAATGCAAATTCTAAAGCTCCACCTGAGACCTACTGATTCAGAAATTCAGAGTGTGCAACCCAGTAATATGTGTTTTAATAATCACTTGCCCTCTGAGAGGTTCTGCTATAGGTTAAAGTTCGAAGAATACTACTCTCTGTTGAGTTTGAAGAATGTAAATGGGCAACCATTCTCCAATAATGCTTCAATTGAGAGGTGAAATCTACATGGTCTACTCCTCAATTTGAATGAAATTTATGACAACTCTGGCAAGAGAACACCCAGAAAGTAAAATAGTGCCAAGCTCCAGGAACGGACCTTGAAGATTGACATTGTCAATCTCCCGCCTCTTGGAGCACACATTCCTGAAGTTCTAAACTGCCATATGAGAAGTTCAAACACCTTTTTGGAGAGAACACCTGGAGATGAATGCAAACATGAGTCCAGCCTTCCAGTCAAGGAACCAGGTATGCAAATGAAGTATCCTAGGCCCTCTAGACGGGTCTACCTGCCATGCATGAGCCCAGTTCACATCATGAAGTGTAGAAAAATTGCCCTTCCAACTCTTGCCTAGATTCCTGATCCAGAAAATAGTGGGTTATAATGAAATGACAATAGATCATTCAAATTGTTGGTAATGGTTTACAAATTAAAGTCTCTCTCAATGCTTTCTAATAGAAATATAAATCAAGCCACAAATGTGGGCCACATATGTAATTAGCAGCTACCTAGCAACCATAGTCATAAATTGAGAAGAAAGGCAAAATTAAGTATAAAAATAATACAGTTTATTTAACTCATTATATCCAACATAGTATCATTTAAATATGTATCAATATAAAAATTGGGATATCTTCTTTTATTTCTATCAAGCTTTATGAATTTTAGTGTATATTTTACACTTGCCTCATTAAATACATCCATTTATATTCATGGAGCTCTATGTTGTAATTCTGAGTAGCCATATTTCAATAGCTACCTCTGGGTGGTAGCTTCTCCATTAAACAAAGCCAGTCCAGGTTATATAGACATCATCTAAAGATGTACCTTGTAACATTTTCCACATAGGAAAGTGGCCCTGTGTCTGATATTCAATTTTCCCCTATGTAAAATGAGAAACTCATATCAAGTACTTCAGAGTTGGTATAAAAATTGACTAGGATTACATGAAGTACAAATGGTGATTTTTAACCTGTAGCAAATCAATAGCAAATAAGACTCAATGACTGGAGTGTTGATGTGTTCCTGTCGTTGTTGTATGTAGTAGGAAGAGAAGGACAGATGTCTTCGAATGTTTCTGGGATGGTTTCGTTTGGGTTCTCCCCGCAGAGAACCTTTCTCTCCTTCAGCTCACACTGTCCTGCTTTCTCTCCACCTACTGCCATCCCTGATGTCAGCTGCTAGGAGCTTCTATGTTAAAAGATAAGTATCTGCTGTGCTTAATAAGGAGGTGGTCCCTTATTAGAGAATGTGCTCAGACAGCAGCTTGCTTAAAAGTTTTTCTCTAGTTTCCTTGACCTGTATCACCTCCTCAGGTGTTCTGCATAATTGCTTTCAAAGTATCGATACGCTCCCTTCAAACTGAGAACAAATACTTTAAACCTGTGTTACACGAATGACCCAGATATCAATGAC